AAAAAAAAAAAAAAATTAGCTGGGCCTAGTGGCAGACACCTGTAGTCCCAGATTCTCAGGGGACTGAGACAGGAGAATTGCTTGAAACCAAGAGGCAGAGGTTGCAGTGAGCCAAGAGTGCGCAACTGTACTCCAGCCTGGGCAACAGAGAGAGAGACTGTCTAAAAAGAAAAAAACCACTTTACCTGCCTGGAGACTGTGGGGTTTATTCTTCATACTTTGTACCCCAGGGCAAAAACCGACAACTCTGCATCCACGGCGGCAAGGCTGGGGTTCTGAGTGTGTCCCCTCGAGCACTGCGCGCCGCTAAGGAAAGTGCACGCCCACCCTCCCTTCCCTCTGGGTGACAAGAATCCAGGTGTGCAGCGTCCTCACTAGGGTGCTTCCTCATGCTTGATACTCCCCGCTGCGGTGCAGGGACACGCAGCCCACCTTTGCACAGCTCCCTGTCTCTGATCACTCAGTTATTTACCCATTCACTCAGCAAACACGTTTTCTTGCCTGCTCACTCCAAGTCCGCGATGGACACCCTGCAGCCTGCCATGGAGCCGCAGAGAGATTTTGTTTGGCCCACACCATGTTTTGTGATTTTGTTTTTGTTTCTGTTTTTGTGTTGTTCTTTTGTTTTTTTGAGACGGAGTCTTGCACTGTCGCCCAGGCTGGAGTGCAAGAGTGCGATCTCGGCTCACTGCAACCTCCGCCTCCCGGGTTCAAGCGATTTTCCTGCCTCAGCCTCCCAAGTAGCCAGGATGACAGGCACCCGCCACCACGCCCCACTAATTTTTTGTATTTTTAGTAGAGACAGGGTTTCACCATGTTGGCCAGACTGGTCTCGAACTCCTGACCTAGTGATCCACCCTGCTCGGTCTCCCAAAGTGCTGGGATTGCCGGCGTGAGCCATCGCGCCCAGCCGTGTTTTTTTAAATTTCAAATTAATTGCCAAAGTTGAAAAGTGTGGAAATTGCATCGAAAATTCTGATTTCTGGATTTCTGTTGACTAATTTAAAAAAAAAAAAAAAAAAACTCACGTTCCCATGTGACCACGTTCGCTGGCAGCCCCTTCCCGAGGTGACACAGGCCTGGCTGCCCCCTGTTGGTCCCTGCAGGCAGTTCACCT